CTGCAAAATATGTTTGTGTGTAACCTGCCTATATATTGTAAAACTTGCTGGAGAGAGAGTCACACAAAATTTACATTTAGAGCAAATCTGCGTGCATGCTAAACAACGTGGATAAGGATCTTTGGAAGATTTTTTTCCCACGACAATTGGTACAACACACAATCATAAGTTACGCAAATAAAGAATTGTTGTTGAAACGGGATTGGAAGAGTGCCATAGAATTAAACAATATTCTATCGGCAATTATTTTTTATGAGTTGAAAGTGTATACAATATTGATATATGCAACTCAATGTAACGCCAAGGCTACTAGTATTTAAAAACACATGAATATGTTATACATACGTAGCTGGGAAGTGTAAACAATCTGACCACCTTGGCAGGTCAATTATTGTAACACAAATTTAAAATGTTGGACAACAATCACGTCTTTTTACACCTAAATAATCCACATTAAACTACACAACATGGTGAAAGTAATATGAAAGGAATACATCACCCTTCACAGATCAATTTTAGAATTATAGCTGAAAACTGAAGGTCTAAATAAATCCAATTTGACGAGCTCGGCTGGGACACGTCCTTGCTGTAGGGCGACAGACAGTGATGTGAAGAAGGTGACTTGTCATCAAGGTCCATATAAAAGTGGGATTTGGAATCAACAATCTTCCATATTTCTTCACCCAAGACCATCGCCATTGCGCAGTCTTCTTGTTGTCGTAAGGTAAGCAGTGAATGCATTAAGGAGCAATGCAGGATAAGTAAAAAATTATGTTTTTATTGTGGTAAGTTCGAAGGACAGAAAATAAGGCAATCTCATTAAAATCAGATCTTATACTGTGATCTGATACCTCTCTTCATGAAGATCAGACACCTCCTTAGGTGAACTTTCTAATCAGCCAATCAGCATTTTGGCATCTAAATTCTTTGCATGAGTGGGCGAAGCATATCTGATTTCTGTATCTCGAGTGGGTATGGTTTAATGCTACTTTCAGCAAATACATGGGCAGGTGACACAAAGAATGGGCTTCATACATTGTACCCAAGTGGGGGATCAAACCAGACTTTTGGCTTGATGAGCAATCATGGTTGCCCCCACGCCCGTTGAAAAATAACATAAAAAAAACTTTTCTGAATGTAGATATAATGAATGCCGTGCCATTATATTGTTGTGGATATTTCAGAGCTCAATGGTATCTACAACCAAAAGGGAGTGCTATTGAAAGAATATTTTGGTTCTGTGGAGAGCTTCTTTTGTTACAATTTTAATTTTCTGAATTGAGATGGTTGAAACTGAAACATTTTAGAAAGCTGACATCTGATTGGCTCATGAACCAATGCATCCTTCATTTAAACTGAAGTCAAAGGACACTCAGGGTGGTGCTGCCTCAGATCAAACAGGGAGGTGTCGCATGGAAGTAAAAGATTTCATTTTTATTAAACTGTCACATCACAATAATTCAGTTTTTTAATTGACATTTTCATGGGTATACAACCAAGTTTGATGCAATGTTGAGGGCTGGAATGTCAGTATCTACTACCTTAATAACTATTACATTTATTTTGAAAAGTGCTTAATTTTCTTAATTCAGGGGTATCTTAAAGTTAAATTCAATGCAATAATGTAAAATTCCTCTCTGTTGGTCCTTTGACCAAGCCATTCCATTAGTTGATAGTTATACACAATTAATTGAGAATAGTCTGATTCCCATTTAATTTTTTTAGATATTTGCTGCAGACTTCGGGCCAATTATTGGCCTCTCAGCAGGTCAAGATAAAAAGCATGTATTACCAAGTTAGTATTACTTCTGCTATCACCAACATTAGCATTACTACAATGTATTAGTATTAAAGAGGTAGCAGGGTTTCACTGCCTTTAGCACTATGCAAGTAATATCATGTCTCACATTGTACCCACGTGGGGAATTAAACCTGTGTCTTCAGTATGACAATCCACATTTACAACAAGGCTACTCCACTACCACATTAGTGCTTCAAAAGCTATTGCTTGAGTGCTCATAACTCAGTGTCATACTCACATCAGAAACAGTGTTTCATGTCTACCTAGAAAAAACACTTACTGACACCGGTAGTGAGCCATATCTGATTGAATCTTGTCAATTTAATTTCTTGAGCATCAAACATTTCATTGCAAATTATATGAAAGACACAATTTCAAACAAACATGAGATCATGACATCGGACAAAGGTGACCAGCTACATTTTTTGCTACAATCAGATCTGATCCACTTAAAATGAAACTTACCATATATCACCAAAGAAAAAACGACCCCGTCAAAAAGGCAACCCCCCAGTTGAAGCCCCTTTGAAATAATAACATTAAGCATTACAAATTACACTCAGAAGGTACAGAAAACAAGGAAAATAGCTGGTATAATACATCCACTCTTTTCTTCACTTTGGAAAGGTCCCGTGAAGATTTGGGGTTATAATTGGTCTTCAGCAGCCCATGCTTGTTGTAAGTGGGGACTAATGACTCATGATGTCAGTCACTGAGATGTCTGATCCAGATTCGATTATTTACAGACTGCCATCATTTTGCAGGAATATTGCTAAGTGCATATTTAAACAACAAACAAACTTTGGAAGGCAGAGTTGTCAAATGGCAATTCTTATTCTATTTCACTTTCATATCGTTGTCTGTGCTGTTGACCAAGCACCCATGCTAACATCTAAGGACATTTAGATTTTGTAGATTGGAATATTTGAACCTCTTGAACAAGCTAAGGTGTCATGATTGATGGGAACAAGTATGTGAAGTTTCACATATTGGTCCATATTGGTCCAGTGGTATCTGAGGAGAAAATGATTACAGACACCAACGCCAAACAAGAAGGCTATGACAGTCAGGTGAGCAAAAAATTATATCAGCCTCCACCACCTTTTGCTTTTCAAACTCTGGAAGTGAGCAAAATGTTGGTGTTAAGACAAAGGGAGTAATTTTTAAAGTCTATGTGATAAGGGAGAGACACCCAGGTTTGTATTTGTGGAAACATGAATGTCAAATTCAGTATATTATTATTGTTGATTACTTTGAACTAAGCATAAGATATTATTGTTTGTAATGTCTTGGCTGAAAATAATAAATGTAAATTATAAAAAGGATTTTTCCATACTAGATGAAAATGGTGCCAGCAGATCCTTGATCTGACAAATATACAATAATGACCAAGAGTAACATCTTTCTGTGCAATGTCACAAAGTACCATCTGATTTTCAGAAAAGTTACAAATTAGCATCATCTTAAACAAGACCAATTATTAGGACTGCCTGGCAACTAAAACATAAACCGAAATAAATAATGCATAATCATATATTCGGTGATATCAAGTTATTCTCATCAATAATTGAGGATAATAGGCTTACAGGTTTTGGTAGTTTTTTTCTGGCAAACAATGCAGAAATGAAGTACATTAATACAAGCCTCTAACTACAGCATGAGGTAATAAAGCCTTTCAAAAAGAGGTTTGACATTTAAACCATGAAGACATAGAACTATGCTCTGGAGTTTGTAGCTGATGCTAGGAATGAGGTGATGTTATTCACAAAACTGTAGACTGTTGATTCAGCCCACACACTGCCTACATATCGCCTGCCGCCTGTCGTGTTGTGACATTTACAAACATTAATTTATCCTACTACTGCTCTTCATAACCAGCAATCAAACCACTTAATTCACAGAGACAGTAGATATGGTAAAAATCTATTAATATAATTATGCTATCATAAATGAATTAACATACTATTTAATATGGTTATAATTTTATTGTTTGAGTGAGTGAGAGTCATTATACAAACAAGTTTTGGTCAGCAAGCTTTGCCTACATAAAGTGCTAAATATAGCAATACTTCAAGATATCCCACAGGTTAAGAGGTATGAATCCTGTGAAAATGTAACTTGCCAAGTAGGACACTATCCAGAACGCTTGCTGTTTTGACTGCAAAGATACCACTACGTCTTCAATTTCCGCATATCATATAAAAAATTAAAAAACTGCGGAAAATGTTGGATTAATCAACATCAAGAGCGTACCTACTGGTATCACCCAGCTTGCCATTGTGTTATTTGTCACTGCTTTACACCAGTTCTATAAATAGTGTTGCGAAAGAGCAAGTAACCAAATGTAACAGTGTTTGTGACAAAATTAGCCCCTCACAATGATGTCTCATGTGGGAGATGACATTCAAAAGGTGCAGCTGTTGTGTCAAACTAATTTAAACAACATAGTGTTGTTGTGTACAGTCACATAGAGCTGACTTATTTCTATTTAAAAAAATTGTCAATAAGTTGATTAAATTGCATTGACAACATTTTTTGTAATAAGCATGGATCAGGCAACATAAAATATTTTGTTGCTGATACACAAAGGGTTCACCTTGACACATTAGAAAATCATTGCCTAGATTGATGTTAGCAAACAGAAAGACAATAATTAACAGATGCAATTGCTCACATTACAGCTAACGAAACACATTGTTTGTCCTCGTTTTGACTGCATACATAGCCACACACCAGTGTACGGCATTATGCCAAACACTGTCAGCTGAAAAGTCGGTCAGCCATCCCTGGCCAACCTGCTGGGCCTGCCTGCCAGCCAGTTAGCTCTTGTGTGATTGCATAATGTAAGCCATGGTGTCTTCTATTATTATCATACAGTGTTTAGTCAAATTGTAGCCTCTTTGGGCTATACAACAACTGGCTGGATCACCAACTTCTGGGTGATTATTAACAATTACAATGGAATTTCAAAGAAGAATAGCGTCACATGTTTTATCTGTCTTGTGTGACTTGGGTGCTAATTCCATATTTTACACTGACAATCAGTCAAATGTGTATGTTTTCTTTCAGACTGGTAAAAACATGTCTTAGGACAATTTTCTAGTGCATAGCAATATATTTGGTTGGTCTCAATCATAAACTAAAACAACTTCTATGCACAACATCAAAGTCATCCAAATCCTGTAAACATAACACATACCTTTCCCAATGTCAGAATTTGGTGGTGTGACATCCTGTAACAGAAAACAGTAACACACTGAACACTGAATTAAAGAATTGCCAACATGAAAAAAAATAAGTCATCAATATCCCCCTCCCTAAGAAATGCGTATCAAATCACAAAAATAGTGTCACAGTAGCTCCCCTGAATATGTAGTCAACAGTTCAAAATGTCAACAAAGACAAATCAACTTACAAAAGTTGCTGTTAGCATTGTTATTCAAATATTCTCTGCATAAATGCTGAGGCCTAAATATTAACAAATATGAAACATGCTCAAAGAACTGGGGTCAAATCACAGTGGAATCGAGGTCGTAATTGGGTGCCATCATTGTGGGAGGGAACAAGTATGTAAAGTTTCAACTTCAATTGTTCCGTCATTAGTGATCAATGATTACTGAGAAGATGGTGTTGATGATGGATGATGGATGACTGACACTGGAAATTTGACTTTCAGTCATGTCAGCTTATAATGACTCAATAATGGCCATTAACAGCTTTTTTCAATGTTGTTGCCATGATATTGAAAATCGTATTCAAACTTCCTGAACAAATTCAGGTGTCATCACTGTTTTAGCTCCTTTGGACCAGTGGTCTCTGCAGAGACTATGTTCACAATGCAGTATGGTATGGTCAAAGTTCAACGTCAAAGGTCAAAACTTAAAATATCCCTAAAAAATGGAACATATAAATAAGCCTCACAACTAACTGCACATAGATTCCAAATGTCATTACACTTTAAAAGAAAAGGGATAAGTAATAGCTAAGTGGAGAAATCCCACATGTGAGATCTACTTTCATTGATGCATACTTATCATCTACAAAAATGAAAATTCATTATGCTTTTACAGTAGCTTCAGTCATCAAATGTATTCTCCATGTCTAAGTGCAAAAAGAATTCAGACACATCCAAGTGGCTGGATGGTCAGATTATAAAATAATATAAAAAGGCTTTTGACTGCACAAAACCACCATCAAAACATTGATACAATTAATTTCATTGGTGAGAATCGGCGACTATTCATTTCTACTTGTCACCAGAAACATCTCAACTGAGGTCAAAATATGAACAGAGACAGTAAAATAACTATATTAAACTGTAATGGTATTCCTCTCACCCAATAAACCCCTCTGTCAATGAAGTGCAATGGCTGTCGATGATAGCAGACCTGCAACTACAAGTAGCCTTTCTGCCTTTTCTACGACTGAGGAAATACCTTCTTAAGCCACAATTAGCCATTACAAAGCCTGCAGCCTGAACCAGACAAATCTGTGATTGTCTGTGACAGAATCAGCAAAGTGACACATTGTCCCACCTGATTTCCATTCCAATCACTTCTTACTTCAATCGTGTAGTGGTTTTAAGTACAAAGGACCTATACAGACACAGAATTTAAGTGATGACCAATCACCTCATGTTCAGAACTTTATCTCCAATGTGACAGCTCTGTGCATGAAGGTGTGAGGACACCTTCAAAGGAGGTCATATCAGGTAAACTTTCTAATCGGTTAATCAGTGTCAAGATTTAAAAAGTCTTGGAATGAGTGAGAGAGGCATTCAGACAAACATATCTGATCATCATATAGTCATGGATATATAATACATCCCAAAAGGGTGTATATTTTAATTGTTTCCTGGCAAGGTTTTCTTTTGCAAAGATCGAATTTTTCGAATCAAGGTGGTAAAGAAATGAATCAAAATCATTTTTGAAAGCTGATATCTGATCAGTTCAAGAACCCATACTTCCCTCACTAAAATTAGGGCGTCAAAGTTCAGTGTTCACCTGAAGCAACAGCCGTCTATGGAGGTGTCCTCAGATCTTAGTGCATATAAGTATCGTATCAGAGTAAAAGATTCAATCTCATTAAAATCTGATATTAGTGCTCGCTTCTGCTATTATAGGTCATTTTATCCAACCAATTAGAGTGTCACTTACAAGATTGCAATAGTGAAAGTCTGAATGTGTTTACTTATCATGCAACCTCAAGAAGCTTAGCACGCAGGAATAATTCTAGGGTGGGGCCTTGTGCTTTTTAGCCCCTAAATTTGAAATAAGGCCCACATTTTCAAATACAATGGGGCATTTTAACATTGTGCTCTATAGGCATATTTCTGGAATATTTGAAATTGTCACATTAAGGGCCCATGTCAGAAAATTCAAACAGTGAACCCTGAGCATGGTACATTTCTAAAGACAGTTACGTGCTGCATGAATACTAGACATGGACATGAAAAGCTCGGGATCTAAAATGGAAAAGAATTTTCGTAGCCAGTGGAAAGGTATGTTCCGTTTTCAAATTTTGAATTGACAACTTTGTCAAAATATTTTTCAAAGGAGTCTAGAATGGGAGTCACAATTTTGAAACTAGTGCCATAAAGCTTGAGAATGGTGCTTTCTGATTGGTTGATGTTGAATTAGTTATTTCATTGGTCAGTGAAAGTTTACGAAAAGGCGTTCTGGCATGACCTGTAATAGGATGTCCTCAGATCATTGTGTAGTGGTAGCAAGTACTAAGTTCTGATTTTAACAAGATTAATTGAGACTGAGTGATGAAAAGACTGGAGCATACTAAACGTAATGCTGATATTCTGCTAAAATCCCACCAAACCTCCACCTCTCCAGTGCAACGTAAATATGCTATATCCATTATCTGTGTGTTGTATTGTCTCTGTGGTCTCTCATCAAGGTACTGATCAATACTTGAACTTATTAATATAGATCATATTACTGCTAGAAAGATATGGTTGAGAACCAGGACATCAAACAATACACAAACCAATACTCATAACTGCTGGGAAAACTAATGTCACACTTTTAGAGATTTTACAATGCATATACCAGAGACATATTTCGTGTTGTCTTATTTATGTACCGTATTTTCTTGAGTATAGTGTGCACCCCCCTCTAGTGGGAAAAAAAATATTCAAATACCAAGTGCAGAAAAAATTACACCGTACCCCTTCAGCGAAGTCCAGCAAACGAACGGGTGAATTTGAGATAAAAAAAGCACCAGACATGTTGATTTACCGTTTAAATAGTATTTATTTTTCTGCTAGGCATTGTTTTATATCCAGGGATTAAGATTACCTTGTGTATTTTCTCGTAAACTAAGCTGGAAACAGCAATCAGCTGTACACACGTTTTCTTGGAATCGACCGGTGATTCGGTCAAGACACACCCAATGATATAACTTTACAGGATTTTTATGCAAGGATCGGCAAAAATTGTATCTGTAACTATCAGGAATAATATATTCCAATATCTTGTTAATTTAGATGCAGCTTTTACTAAACATATTTAAAATAATAATAACCGTAAGCGAAGCAGCTGATTGCTATTCCCGGGTATTATTTTTTACATGGAACCAGTCTGACCAGTCACCGTCAAGGCTCACTCGCACGGTCATCACGAGAATTACGTGTTGACATAGAATCGTCAAACAAAAACAAATATGACTTTTAACGAGCCAAAGTATGGCATTTATGATATATGTATCCATTCTCTGTCAATTAAAGTTCGTTTCAAGGCGTCAATAGCGGTAATCTGACCATGGTTGTCGTTAATAACGGTGAGTTGTGCGATCTTCCGATCGCTTCACACACGATTTCACCGAAATTAATAAAAACAATATTAAAAGGAATTTTGAATAAAATTAATGAAATAAGTTACAAACATAAGTCCAGATATACAAAGAACACTTTTTATAGCCAGACAGTGTAATTACATGATTAATTTGCGTACTTCAGTATGGATTTGTTGACATCGTATTTCCGGTGTCTCGTGCTCACGGTAATGTCTTTCCATGGGGGAAAAAAACATCCAAACTCATAATTCGTGTATAATGCGCACCCCCTTCTACACAGCTGTGTTTTTTGGAAGCACCCCCTTCTACACAGCTGTGTTTTTTGGAAAAAAAGTGCGCACTATACTCAAGAAAATACGGTACATAGAATAAAAGAAGAGACCTTGTGACACAATTGTATCATACAAAATAATTCCATGTTAGCTTATTGAGATTAAATACTGCTTGACAACTAAAGATTAAAAAGGAGAAGTTCAGATCTGAATTTTGTTCAGCCCCCAAACAGTAACATTCCAATAGAAGGGCCATGAAGATCTTGCTACTTAGATGTTATCCTTAATGTCTCGAACTAAGATTTAATTTACTGCACGGTTCATTTAGCTCTACTGCATAATTAGAGCATAAACAGTGACAAATGGTATATCCATAAAAATGACTCCTTCACTTTCTTACCTTTCCAACCTTTGGAGGAATTTGGAACGACAGTTTTTCTTCTGATTTTCTTGGTGTATTAATTTCTGACACAGGTGCAGGTATACTTCTCATTTCCTGCCAAACAAATAACAAAATACAATTGAATTCATCCTTTAAACAATACAAATAATTCAATAAAATGGTAGAAGGCAGTTAGTTACCAATCACATAAAATATCTTCTACAATTTTAACAAAGAAACAAGGTGGAGTGATTGCAAATATAAGAATACTGCAGGTTTTCCAGACTCATGCTCACTTGTCAAAAACAAGCAATATGCTTGGCAAATGTTCATTTGACAGTGACAGAGAGAAAAAGTCTCGCCAGTCAAGTCTAGTTTAGGCAAATTTACCACAGTGACCAACATCAAGGGAGACTCTGTTATAATTAATTCAGCAATATTCGTATTTTAATTTAGCTGTATGAATGGTGTGTATCAAGGTCTGGCTGGGTAATTGACTCCTGATGACAGGACAGTCTCAGATAAAATCTTTATCTTCTCAGATTTGTTGGATGCTGAAACACCATAGCAAATTGAATTTCTGGCAGATGGGTTAGTTTGGCAAATAAATTGTGTTTTTGAAACTACTTCAGGTGATTAATAATATTTCATCTTCAAATGTTATTAATGTTCAAAAAAAAAAAAATCCCTTCTTACTTTTTATTCACTTTTACGAGTTGGCATATATGTGAGAAAGAGGGAATAGCCTTGTGCTTTATTGTTGACATGCTGACATAAGTAAAAAAAGAAAGAAAAAAAAGGAAGCAATATCCTAAATTACTAAGTGGAGACCATCTGGATGACTCATAAAAATATATACCTTGAATTTGACGGACCCAAGTAAAACAAAGACAGATGAAGCATTATACATCAGAAGGTGATCATTCAAATGCTAACTTGTCTCCTCCCAAAGTATTGGATACACTGTATGTGTGATTGCATACTGTTATATTGTAGTGTTAAATTAAGCTCTCTAAACAATAAAACCAAGAAGATATACTTACATTGAATATGTCATGGAGTCCTTCGATTCCAAAAGATGGGGCATTATTCTGAAAAGATGTAAGAATATGTCCAACATGTCCATGCCAGCAATTACTGGGTAATTCAAGATTGAAAAGAAACATCTTATCTAGTAATAGTATCCATTTCTCAATCATATGTTTACCAATAAAAATTTGGAGGGGGTGTGGGTGTGGGTGTGGGTGTAGGGAGTGGGTGAAGGGGTTGTCTGCAAGTAGTGGCAAATCAAACGCAGTCCATCTATCAACATTGTTTGGAAATACTGACAAACATATCAATCATAAAATCACAATGAAAACCAAAATTGATATAAACCTTCCAAAGATTTGATACCTATTAAAAAAAATAGTTGGGCTTGCCAAAAATTATTTACTACTCGTATCACTGACAGACTTCCAGGCAATGTTTGATGAACACCTATAGATGTTAACGAAGAATCCTACCTCAGACTGGATGAGAAGCTTTGGCAGTTTGTTTTTCTGTTGTTGCTTGACCAGTGGTCCCCGACTGACAATGCCGTTTGGTGGAGTAGTTGACTCCCTAAGAGGCATGTTACTGGCCTGGTTGGGGGCAATTGAAGAAGTACTGTGTTGAGAACCAGATGAAGGTTTAGGCTGGAACACAGGCTTGCTGGCAGAGCCTGGTGACTTTTTGGGAGACGGGACAATGACATTGGATGAAGTTTGTGATTTGTTGGCAGTTTGACTAGGACTTGGGCTGGTGGAGTGTTTGGAATGAAGCTGATACTTGCTCTGTGATGACAAGGGTGAATGCATTGAAGGGAAACTGGGTTTTGCAGGGGACTGGGAACTGGATAGACTAGACTGTTGTGAAGAAGAGGATGACTGAGAGTGGCTGCTACTCTGTTTGGAATGGATGGAGCGTTCACTGGAGTGACTTCGCCTGCTTCCTCCACCACCACCACCACCTTCAGATCCCCCACCCCCATCTGAGGGCATTCTAGTTCGATCATGGTTGCTATGATGGCCTCTGTGTTCTCTTCCCGTTTTGTAAGAAGAGTCAGCACTGTGGTCTCGACTTCTCTTGTCACTGTACCCTGCTTTGTGGTCATGGCTAGATTTCACATCACTCCGTTGTTTGTGTCCATGGCCAGATTTGATGTCCACTGGTTTAGGATCTAAATCTGAGCTTTGACCAGACTGGGATTTGTACCCAGATCCCTCCAGACTGCGGCGGCTGTGGTCATGTGTGGATTTGTTTTCTCCATGTCTTAAAGCACCATTGTGTGTGCTTGGATGTTTGAAAAACTTGCTGCCACTAGTTTGAGGTTGTGGAGTCGTAGGTGCTGCTAGTGCACCTATCTGGTACTTGGGACCTCTGCTCTTGAAGTCAGAAAACTCACCAAGCACCTGGCGAATCTTTTGGTTAATGTCATCACCTTCATTTGAATTCTGGACCTTCAACGAAAGAAAGAGAACTTTCAAATCTGCAGTTAGATATGGAATAGAGTTCTGTTATTCTTTTACTAGCAACAGCAGCTACTGTTAAGGGTAGGAGGGTGAACAGTTCTTTTTTTAGACTCCCATTTAGAAAACATGACCATGAATGTTCATGAAAAGTACTTTCAGAGCTACAACCTTATTTGCATTATATTATAGTGTCAGCTTTGTTAGCTATTGAGCATGTTTGAAATTATTCATTTAATGCAACATGTACGTGGCACAGTAATGCTCTAAAACAATGACAAATTCAGTTTGAAGTGAATATCTGTTACTATTAAATAAATGTTCAAAGATGAACATTTGAGGCCCAAAATATCAAAATGGAATTTCAAATGAGCCTGATAACTTGTTATGTTAATTTGACAAACGATCTGCTCATGTATTGATCAGGTGTTACAACCAGCTTCCAACAGTAACATAACTGTAAATCAGCAAGCAGTCCTGAGAGGATTACAACTGTATCATTGACTGATGCTGATGTTTTTGCCTTGACCTCTCCAGATTCCAGACATCTACTGATGCCAAACCACTGCTTAAAAAAAACATTAATAAATTGCATGCAATATCAACACTAAAAACAGGCAAAATAACATTTCATATAAATTATTCAAATACAAGTTTTCTTTCTCTGTAGATTTTAATCTTACAGTATTGACTGCCAAAATGAGAATTTTTTACAGGAGAATGTTCTGCAGATTTCTTACATCTATATAATTAAACAACATGTATGCTGTAAAAAGATTTACAATTGTAACACAGTAACATGACCGATGTGTTTATCACCACAGTGAACTAGCTGGCTTCAAGGACACTATATGGCAAGAGTTGTGAGTGAGGTCTCAGTACATATAAAGTGATAAGCTCTTATTATTTCTTATCAACATACCCTCACTCTAATTTATATCAACTGTAAATTCATAGAAATTCACCAACAATCCTTAACCAAGATTTCCATGTGCCAGATAAACATATACTTCTGGAGAAGCTCTGATGGCTGAACATAGATTGACCTGACTGACCTGATGGCCATCTGAAGCCCTATCTTCTGAATCATTTACAGTTTAGGTCTTTTCACGCTCTCAGCCTGTGCTCAAACTCATCCTGGCAACAAGGCCAAAATTGTCATTCAACATCTTTTTACTAGATTTTTTACATTGCATGTTACTAGCTTAAAATAAATTTTATGAGCTCAAAAGAAATTTTACAACATTCAGGCTTTCGAAACAGTTAAAGTGCATCATAAATAGTGTGTATGAAATTTGTTATTGCAATATGTTTGGGGAATGACTAGTTGAAGACTTCCTGTGACGTGTGGTACTAAGCAGCACATATGCAGCCCCCAGTCAAATTCCTTTCTGTCCTTCTGTCTAGTAAGCTTAACTCATACTAGCCCATTACATATTTACATCCAAATCTGATAAATCTGCTGCCAATAGACAAGTACAGGCTAGAAAGCCTGAATGACTTTGACACACTTGCATGCTTTTTTTCAACCCTGAAGAATTAAGATGAAGGATGAAATGCTGTATAACACTGAACTAACTCCAAGAGTCTTGTTTCATTTCTGTTCACAATGTCATTCCTTGTTCAAAGATGGTTACAGTTAGGAGAACTAGCACATTTCACTGAACAATTCTTAGTCCTTTTACACACATCAAATATTTACATAACAAAGATATTTAGTACCGTATATCGCCATCTACAAAGCGACCCAAGATATAAGCCCCCACACCCCTCAATAAAGTAAATCGGAATGAAGCATGTGACACAATCCCTACATTTGCAATACAAATGTGTTTGCATCTGCAGAAAAAAACATTGTATCCCTTCAGCGAATTTAGGGAAATGAAAAGATCACAACAATTAAACTTGGTCAATACAAATTTGAAATTTGAGATAAAACATCACTAGATATGATGATTTACCGATAAAATTGTATTTCCTGTTCTGATAGGCATTGTTTTATATGCAGAGATTAAGATTACCATGTGTATTGTCTCATAAACTAAGCCGGAAGTAGCAATCAGCTGTGCACATGTTTCTCAGAATCTACTGGTGATTCGGATAAAAATTACCCAATAATATAACATTAAAGAATTTTGATGCAGTGATCGCAAGAAATGTATCTGAAACTATTATTTTATCAGGAATAATTTATTCCAATATCATGTTATTTTGGCTGCAGCTTTACTATATATATATATATATATATATATTTGAAAGAAATTAATAACCATTAGCGTAACACTTTTGTACAGCTGATTGCTATTGCTGGATATTTTTCCGTATGGAATATTTGACCAATCACCGTCAATTCCCGCGCTTGCGCTAACAAAAACTTTATGGAGACATATAATAGTCAAACTACAACAAATAATATGACTTTCAGTGAGTCAATGTATGGCGTTTATGACATATATATCCATTCTTTACTGGTCTACCCATGAAAGTACGTTTCAAGGCATCTACAGCAGTAATCTGACTATGGTTGCTGTAAATAATTGTGAGTTGTGTACTCTTCTGATCACTTCACATACTATTTCTCCGAAATGAATGTAAACAGTATTGAATGAAATTTTGAACAAAATTAATAAAATAGATTACAAACATAAGTCCAGATATACAATGAACACTTTTTATAACCAGACAGTGATACTTCATGATTAGTTTATGTACTTCAGTACAGATTTGTTGACATAGTATTTCTGGTACTACATGTTCACAGTAATGTCTTTGTGTTGGGGAAAAAAACATCCAAACTCTTCAAACGTGTGTATAAGACGATCCCCTATTATGCCCCTAATACTTGGTACAAAATCTTGCCTTATATATAACACAGCAGTATACGGTAAATATATGAAATGCCGCTCTAATAGTTTTTCTGGACCCGTGAAGATCTGGGGTAGAATAGCAATCCAGGCTCGTGTGGTCAGACTCACTGACTTGGTTGATGCATGTCATCATATCCTTATTGCGTGGATCGATGCTCATGATGTCAATCACTGGATTGTCTGGTCCAGACTTGATTATTTACAGACCACCGTCATAAAGCTGGCATATTGCTGAGTGCAGCGTTAAACAGCAAACAAACAAACAAAACTAATGTTTTTTTCTGCTTGATACATGCACTGTTGAAATTGTGGTAAGATGTTTATCTAAATTCTATGTTGTACAATAGATTCAAAGATCCATTTCATAAATTTCTGATAAAATTAATTAACCATAAATATTAACTGACATCTTTTATTACAAAATTAGGGCTGGGATCGTTAATCAGAATTATTTAGATGTGAAGTAATATTATTGATTATCGATACAAAAATTGTGTCATCGATAATATCTTACATGTACTATTGTGATAAAATAAAGTTTAGATAACCAAAACAGACTGATATTTCCTTTTTTTTGTCAATCATGTCAAATACCTGAAAATAGAAAGCAACTGTTTTTGTTATATCTTAACTGTCCACAAAGTAATCCATGCATGTATACAGTAGAACATGATTATAACGAACTACAAGGGACCGGAGAAATCAGCTTGTTGTTCATTATATATGTTTTAGCTTGAAACGTCTGCCATTTGGGCTAAAACAAAACACAATACACACACACGTTTATACATGTTTCCGCCCGCACCTATTGGTGATTAAGTTAAAAAGTACCCAATGATACAACTTCAATATTTTATTTTATTACCACTAGCTCATTTAGATCTTTTATCTAGATATCTTGTATTATCTATCAACAGTGAAGTTGAACTGAAGACTTGTGAACACTCGTAATATTTTCTGGTTGAATACAGTTTATTAGCAACAACAAACACGCCCAAAGCTTTACATTTCGTATATACCATATTTATTCGCGTATAATACACACTCGTGTATAATACACACCCCTAATTATGGGCTATTAAATCCTGAAAAAAATATCTCTCGTGTATAATACGCACAGACTTTTCTTCAGTCTTATTTCAGGCTGTCATAATCCGTCATCGGAAATAGCATAAGAAATCCGAATTGAATTACGCAAGTTAATCCTGTTGTTACATCTGGTAATAAAAATGTGTTCTCTGTATATCTGACCTTATGTTTGTCATCTATTTTATTAATTTTATTTAAAATTTCATTCAATAATGTTTACCTAAATTTCGGCAAAAACATGTGTCCCTCCGATACTTATAACTTCTGTTTACCCCGTTCCATAGGTTCTGCTTAACCACATACTGTAACCGTGCCAAATCACATTATTCACCGCAACAATGATAATATTTTCTTCTGTTTCATTTTTTACGAGTCTACACATCTAGATAAACATATGTCATGGTTAACTTTTAGTGAGAAAATATGCCGAAACATGAAAAATCTTGTCCATTTGCAGAATTTTCCTTTGTTTACATCACGTGCTGTCATCGAAGCCACATGGAGTGTCAGAGTTACGTTCACTTTGATGCATAAATATATTTTGAAACGACGATTAATTAAAAACTAGACGTAAATTTTAACCACCTGGATGTATGTCCCTCCTCTACAACCCTCACTTTGAAGTCGAATAAAATTCAAAATACATCACCCACACAACTACACTTTACAGTTTTGAATAAGGTGGGAAATTCCCTGTTCTGTGAAATCATCCACTGGCATTTTAGGCCAAGTAAAAGTACTGAACATGACCTCTGAAAATTAGGTACATCGTAAATGTCGCCATTTTTTACACATTACTAAATCACCACTCACGGCCTTATTTACAGCATGTTTTGAAATCTAAATTTCAGATATTTACTCCGAGAAATGAATTTCAAAAATAGCATATTAATGATCACGGGTATCTGTCTTTTATGAAATCACCAATGATCATTCCAAAACGTCTCCGATAACCCTAGAATCGTTTAGAATGTTTTGGGAAAAACGAAAACACGAACGCCAAAGTGAACTTTCCGCCATATTGGATAGTGTTTC